ACAAGCATAAAATGTTAGTTCTGATGACCTCCTGAAACAAAGACATGGTTGCAATATGGGCATAACAAGGTAGTCATAGCAACAGGTAGTCATAGGTGGTCATATAACCATTTGAAACAATGGTAGGGTTGCAAGATGATTATACACATCTTTCTGAAACAAAGACATGTTTGCCATCACACCTAGGATGGTGGCCTACTCCTTTAATTCCAGGACCTTGTGAGTTCGAGGCCAGTCTGCTCTACATAAACCACGTTCCAGGACAGCCAGAGTTGTTACACAGAGAAACCCTGTCTTGAAAAACCAATTTAAAAAAAAGTGCTTAGGGGGCTGGAGAGATGGCTCAGCGGGTAAGAGCACTGTCTGCTCTTCCAAAGGTCCTGAGTTCAATTCCCAGCAATCACATGGTGGCTCACAACCATCTGTAATGAGGTCTGGTGCCCTCTTCTGTCCTGCAGGCACACACAGTGACAGAAAAATGTATACATAATAAATAAATAAATAATTAAAAAAAAGTGCTTGGTGCTCTTGGAGAAGACCCAGGTTCCATGTTCACCGTCTACATTGTGATTCACAACTCCAGTTCCTGAGGTTCAAGTGCCCTTTTCTGGCTTCTACAGGTTTTTCATGAATGTGGTACATTTATATGCAGGCAAAGCATTTGTAAAAATAAAAGCAAATAAGAAAAATTCCATACATGCCTCTAATCTCTGCACTCAAGAGGCAGAGGTAGGCAGATCTCTGTGAGTTCAAGTTTGGGTTGGCCAGGGCTGCAGTGAGACCCGATCTCAAAAAGAAAATAAGTAAACAAACAAATAAATTTTGAAAATTATCTTCATGAGAGAAGAATAAAGATTAAAAAAAGCAAGCAAAAAAAATTATCTTCAAGAAAAGTTGAATATAGCTGTGAGGTGAGGCCAGTGTGATCTACACAGAGAAACCCTGTCTTGAAAAACAAAAAAAACCAAGCAAACAATCAAAAAAAAGTCAAGTAAACCAAAACTAAAATAAAACAAAAAACTAAAACAAAACAAAAAGAGAACCAGGGGACTGAATTGTTGTAATGTGGAGCATCGGGCTGTGTCCAGCCATCTGACTAGTTTATACCCCAAAATAACAACACGGAAATTGTATTAATTTAAACACTTCCTGGCCCATTATCTCCAGCCCCTTATTGGCTAACTCTCACATATTAGTTTAAGTCATCTCCATTAATGTGTATCTCCACTTGACTGTGGCTTACTGGTATGAGTCTAACCAGCGTCCATCTCGGAGAGGAGAGCCATGGCGTCTACTACACTGCCTTCTTCCTCCAGCATTCTGTTCTGTCTACTCTACCCACCTAAGGGCTGACCTATCAAAAGGCCAAGGCAGTTTTCTTTATTCAACCAATGAAAGCAACACATAGAAAGAAGACCCTCCTACACCACTAAAGAGATGGCCCAGCTGATGAAGAACCTATGACTTGAGAATGAGGACCTGATTTTGGGTCCCTAGTGTCCATGTGAAAGCTGGGCATGGTGTTGACTTTTGTAACCCTAGCACTGGAGACAGCAGGAAGGGGAGAGGGGGAACAGATTCCTGTAGCTTCTCGGGCAGCCAGGGTGGCCAGTTGATAAACTCCAGCTCAAGGCCTTGCCACAAAAAATAAAGTGAGAGAAAGAGAGGAAGACATTCCGTTTTGACATCTAGCCTTCATATGCATGGGTACATCCATGGGCATATACGCAAAGACATGTACACAATATATACACAAAAACACAGACAAAACCAGAGTGGGGTGTGATAGTCCATACCTGTAGCCCTAGCACCCAGGAAGCAGAGGAATAAAGATCAGGAATTGAAAGCCACTTTATGTCAAGAATGTACACAAGCCTTGGAGAGGTGGCTCAAACCTTAAGAGTGCTTGCTGCATTCAGTTCCCAGCACCCATTTTCATGGTCTGTCCTGTCCCTTTAAGAGACAAGCCCTGCCCACTCCCTCCCCCATCTGCCGAGGCAAGCGGATCTTCCTTCCACTTCCAGCCTGAGCTCATTCCCTTTCCATCACTTTCTGAGGAGTCTCCCCCACTTTTCTTTCTCTCTCTCTGCCTCTCTCTCTGCTCTTCCCCCTTTTCCCTTTCTCTCTCCTCTCCATAACCCACTAAATAAATACCCACTGTCTCTGCATGGCGAGCCTATCCATTTCTCTCTCCTGATGTGTGGCTCCTCATGGGACCAACTGACTTGCCAAGGTCTCTCACCCTGCCTGGGACCTGCTGCCCCTCGTGGCCTGCTGCCCACTGCTGCTACTCGGGGACCTGGAGAGTTTTATTTTTTCCATTTCCATCTCATTGAATGACTCAAATATCTGTTACTCTAGTTCCAGGGGACCCAGACTTTCAGATTGCAGGCACCTGTACATACTTTTATCTCTGCCATCACACACATAATTAAAAAAGTAAATCTTTGTTTTTTTTTGAGACAGGGTCTCACTGTTATGCCCAGATTTATGAAGTTCTCCAAAACCAACAAGGAGATGGAGTCCCATATGTAAAAGCAAAGAGCCTTTATTCTATACAAGTTTGCACACTTGGTCTCTCTGTGTGTCCAAAGTATTGGAATAACTGGAGAGCCCCGAGCTCAGTTAGAGTTGGGTTTTTATAGTAGTAAAGGTAGGGGTGCGGCGTTTCTAAGGTTCAGGACCCCTGGGTGGCTGACATTTGTCTAGGGGTGTTCTGGTGAGTGTGTGCTTGTAGGTGATCCTGTCTACAATGGTTGGAACTTGGAACATTAGGAATTTCCTTTGGATAGTCTGTTCCTGGGTGGTGACTGGGTAATCTCAGTTTGTGGTCCTTCCTGCAACCAGGTATTGCCTCAGGATAAACTACTGAGACTCAGGTCTCCATTAAGCTTATCATTAAGCGGAGTCCTACAATGGCAGGTGATAATGGTTGGAAGTTAAGAACTTCCTTTGGGTGGTCTGTTCCTAGCAAGTTTATTATGGTTGAGTCCTACACTCACTACATAGCTCTGGCTGTCCAGGAACTCACTCTGTAGACCAGGTTGGCCTGGAACTTAGAGAGATCTGCTTGCTTCTGCCTCCTGAGTGCTGGGATTAAAAGTGTGTGCCATCACTGCCTGGCAGAAAAATAAAGTAAATCTTAAAAAAAAGAAAACAAAACCCCAAACAACAGATGTAAAAACAAACTAAACACAGAGAAATGTAAAAGCCAACCCCAATTTGGCAGCTATATCAAACCAAACTGTGGACTGGATTTGCCTCTGATGTGGGATTCCCCTCTGTATGCTATGAATATCATTGGTTAATAAAGGAACTGCTTTGAGCCTATAGCAGAGCTATAGGGGAACAGAGATAGGTGGGGAAAACTAAACGGAATACTGGGAAAAAGGAGGTGGGGTCAGAGAAGCCATGGAGCCGCTGCCTGAGGCAGACTTTTCTGGTAGGCCATAACCTCATGGTGATGCACAGATTAGTGGAGATGGGTTAAATTAACATGTGAGAGTTAGCCAATAAGAAACTAGATCTAGTGGGCCAAGCAATATTTTAAATAATATAGTTTCTGTGTGATTATTTTGGGGGGCTGAGCTGTTGAGCAGCCGGGAACCAACAAGCAGCCTCCTCCAGCATGCCTTGGTGCTGCAACTTGTAGCTGCTGCTCAATAACACATTTAGAGCAATCCTGTGTCCTTGTCAAGACTAGGGTCCAGGGTTTTGATCTCAGTTACCATAGTAGCAGTTTCACCTTTCAAGTCCCAGCTTCCTCAGGGGGACACGTTACTTAGGGATACACACACACACACACACACACACACACACACACATTAAGATTTATTTATTTATTTTGTATACAGTGTTCTGCCTGCATGTATGCCTGCAGGCCAGAAGAGGGCACCAGATCTCATTACAGATGGTTGTGAGCCACCATGTGGTTGCTGGAAATTGAACTCAGGACCTCTGGAAGAACAATCAGTGCTCTTAACCTCTGAGCCATCTCTCCAGCCCAGGGATATTGTTTAAAATGTGATAACTTTCCTGGCATGCTGGTGTATGCCTTTAATCTTAGCACTCGGTAGTCAGAAGCAGGTAGATTTCTATGAGTTCAAGGGTAACCTAGTCTGCATAGTGAGTTCAAGGCCAGCCAGGGCTACATAGAGAGACCCTGTCTCAAAAAATATAATAAATGTAATGACTGGCAGATAAAATGAGTTTAGTTCTTAGCTGATGGTGAATCCTAGCTTTCAGCATCTTTTTTCCCCTGATACCCAGCAAGTCCATTGGTAAAATTATCTCTGTCTGTCTGTCTGTCTATTTACTGTTCTCTCACACAGCAATCCTGATCAAAATTTCCCCTCTCCCCAGTCCTCTCAGTTCCCACCCCCACTTCCCTCTCCCACAGATCTACCCCTTCTCTGTTTTAGTTCAGAAAAGGGCAGGCATCCCAGGGATAGCAACCAAATACAGCTTAACAAGATACACTAAGACTAAGTTAAAAACCCTCATATCAGGTCTGGGTGAGGTAACCCAGTAGGAGGAAAAGGCTCCCAAGAGCAGGCAAAAAAAGCCTTTTAATCTTTCATGTGTTTTTTCCTGAATACAGAATGGACCATGAACTAGACATATTTAGACACAATCTTTGAAAGTCACCAACTCTTCCCAAATGACCATAGGGGTTCTCTGGTGCTGCCAAACGAGAAAACCACAAACTTCCCTATCTAGCTGTTGAACACCTGTCATCCCAACACTCAGGATGCTGAGACACTGAACTTGGGGCCCCTGTAAGACCCTACACTGACTGTTTTTAATTAGCAAGCCATCTCTCCAGACCCCATCCATTTCATTATGACACATTGACCACGTTTTACTGTAAGGTTTTATTAAGTGGCTCTGCTCCATGCTAGACTTTGGATAACTTGAGAACAGGACTGGGGCTCGTCCCTGAATCCCAAGCACCTAACAGTGGTTCCAAAACATGGTGGGTGCCTGGTCACTGTTCTTCCCTAGGAGTGGGATAAGACTGCTTTGCTGCCAAGCTTCCTCAGGGCTGCCTTCATGTCCTTGTTCCTTAGGCTGTAGATAAAGGGGTTCAGTGTAGGGATGACCACCCCACACATTAATGCAGCTATCTTGTCTTTCTGGGAGGAGGTGGGGGATGCTGGCTGTAAGTACACAGCAAAAATGGTCCCATAGAACAATGACACCACGGTGAGGTGTGAGCCACAAGTAGAGAAGGCTTTCCACTTGCCCTGAGCAGATGGGATCCGGAAGACTGCCTGAAGATGCAGATGTAGGAGACTAGGATGCAGGACAGCGGGCTGAGGCCCATGATGATGCCGAAAGCAAAGATCACCAACTCATTGGTGTGCGTGTCTGAGCAGGAGAGTTTCAGGAGGGGCATGAGGTCACAGAAGAAGTGGGGGATTTCTGACCCTGCACAGAATGTCAGTTGGGCCATGAGGCAAGTGTGCACCAGGGATTGGAGATTAGTGATCACCCATGGCCCACCCACCAGTAGCCCACAGACATGTGGGCTCATGAGCACTGAGTAGTGCAGTGGATAGGCAATGGCCACCAGCCGGTCAATGGCCATCACTGCCAGGAGGAAGCTGTCCATGGTCCCGAAGAGGTGGAAGGCATACATTTGGGCAAGGCAGCCTGCAAAAGGGATAGCTGTGCTCTGGGTCTGGATGTTCACCAGCATCTTGGGGACAGTGGTAGAGGAGAAAAGGATGTCAACCAGGGATAGGTTGCAGAGGAAGAAGTACATGGGTGTGTGCAGGCGAGAGTCTGAGACAATGGCCAGGATGATGAGCAGGTTCCCAAAGACAGTGACCAGGTACATGGACAGGAAGAGTCCAAAGAGGGTGGGCTGCAGGTCTGGATTTTCCGAGAGTCCCATGAGATGGAATTCCAAGACTGTTTGGTTTTTCAGTTCCATGGAGACCTTGCATGCATCTACTGGAACAGAACATAGAGCTGGAGTCAGAGATGGGACTCTAGTCCTGTGGGAACCTTTAAGGTTCTGTGAAAGTCCTCCTGCTTCGGGGAAATTTCTTCAGGCTATCTCCAGTGGGTTATATATTCTTGAAGCTGTCTAAATCTGAGGCAATTAGGGTCTCAAATCCCTGACTGAGGTACATGATCAACTTGGATGTTGTCCAAGGTGGGTGATTGTTGCCTACAGATCAGTTCTGGAAGGTTCCACAAATACCCGTATGGTAAAAGCTCAGATAGTCAGCTTGTGGGAGGTGGTAGAAGGTGCTTTCTGGGGCTGGAGAGATGACTTAGCAGTTGAGAGGCCTTGCTGTTCTTGTAGGGGACCTGAGTTTGATTTTTAGGACTCACATTGGGTGGCCATCTGACCACTGAACAGACATGCACCGTGCGCTCCCACTGTAGTATAACAGGGCCAGCTGACCATGGACTGAGCCTCTGAAACCCCGAGTCAGAATGAACCTTCCTTCTTTAAAGGTGATTACCTCAGGTATTTTGGGACAGGGACTGAAAGCTGACTAACATGTATCAAATCTCAACTCAGAACATCTACGGCGAAAGGAACCTGATATCTCCTTTTATTTCTTTCCCCAGGTCTCTCGCTCTCTTCCCTCCTCCTCCCCTTTTACCTTTCTACCAACGAGAGTTGCTGAGATCGTGGTGTCTTGGTCTGGGAAGTCCTTCTATCTACGTGTTGCTTTTATTGGTTAATGAATAAATCTACTTTGGCCAGTGGGTTAGCAGAATAGGGCAAGGTGGGAATTCCAAGCAGATAGAGGAAGAGAGTAGGCAGAGTCAAGGAGAAGCCGGGTAGCCCCTCACAGGTGACAGATGCCTCTGTTGGAGCCCACCAGAACCTTGCCAGTCAGTCACAGCCACGTAGTGATACATAGATTAATTAAAAAAATGGGTTAATTTAAGATATGAGTTAACTAGCAATACGCTTAAGCTATTGGCCAAGCAATGTTTTAAATAATATAGTTTCTGTGTAATTATTTCAGTTCTGAGCCTGATGAACAAATAGCCCCCACCTACAGTGTCTCTTCACGGCAACAGAGCACTGACTAAGACATGTTCTAGCTACTCATGCAGAGAGCACGAGCTTATTCCTAGACAGCAGCACTGTCCAAACACACACATATGCAAAATGTGAGATAAAATCTTTAAAAAGGAACAATTTGAGTATCAACCTTTTGTTAAGAATAGGTAATTGAGGGGCGGGAGAGATGGCTCAGCAGTTAAGAGCACTGGCTGCTCTTCTAGAGGACCCAAGTTCAATTCCCAGCACCCACATGGCAGCTCACAACTCCCCGTAACTCCGGTTCCAGAGATTCTGACACCATCACACAGATACACACACAGGCAAAACACCAATGCACATAAAATAAATAAACAAATGAAAAAGACTCGGTAATGAGTAAAGAATTTATGATATGGGGCTGGAGGTGTAGCTCAGTGGTACAAGGTGTGTTTAGCACGCATGAAGCGCTGGGTTTGCTCTTCAGCATCATAAATAAAAATGTGCACAAAATTGTGTGTTTGCAGGTACACAGTGGAACACTATTCAGCTTCAGAGAAGGGAATCTTGCCACTCACTACCATATAGACGGACCCAGAAAAGGTTCTGCTTAATGAAACTAAAGCAATGCCATATCATCTCAATTATATATGACAATCTGAAAAAGTTGAGTAGAATCAGGCAGTTGAGTGGCAGTTAACAGAGTCTGGCAAAGGTATGGGTTGGAGTTGGTCAAAAGATTTAAGTTTTCATTTAGAGAGGTATAAGTTGAAGAAATCTGTTATAGAACATGGTGTAGTTAATGGCAAAAGCCACATTCTTGCAGGTTGCTGGGGTTGCAGAGATGGCTAAGAGCATCTGCTACTCTTGCAGAGAACCAGACTTCAGTTTCCAGCAACCACATAGGGTGGCTTACAACTGCCTGTGATTCCAACTCCAGGGGATTTGATGTCCTTTTCTGACACCTGTACTCCATGTACACACACACACACACACACACACACACACACACACCACACAAATACATTTTAAAATGAAAATTGCCTAGAAAGTATTGGTGCAGTGCATTTGTTCCTTATCTTAATTTAGTTACTATGAAATATATGTAGACTTTAAAGCATCATTTACATAATTTTTTCAACTAAACATAGTTTCAAGGGGTTGGAGAGATGGCTCAGCGGTTAAGACCTCTGGCTGATTTCCCAGAGATCCTGAGTTCAATTCCCAGCAACCACATGGTGGTTCACAACCATCCGTAATGAGATATGGTGCCTTCTTTTGGGCTGCAGGCATGTATGAAGGCAGAACACTGTGTATATAATAGATAAATAAATCCTGAAATAACTCATAAAGACAAAAAAATGGGTTTGAAGATTGTGTTCAGGGCTGGAGGCGTAGCTCAGTGGTGGGGCCCTTGTCTAGCCTGTATCTGACCCTGAGTTTGATCCTCATCACTTTGAAAAAGAATTTTTGTTTGCTTGCTAGTAATATTTAATTAAGTAATACAATTACAGTAATAGCTGCAACCATCAAAATCAGGTTTGGGATTAATTAAAACGACACAATTCAGTAGATGATAGCAGAACCTGGTAGACAAATATAGGAGTTAGTTTCGCTTGAGTTCTCCACCTGCTTTTGCGTTATGTACCCCATCAACGACGTAGTTAATATCTGAATTCCTTCCCTGCATGTTCTATACACAAATATCCCTTTTCAGACTGCACCCAGCCACCAGCAACCTAGGAATCCCCTCCGGCCACTACCCACACCAGAATACCTGTCCTCCCATCTTTGAACAGTGCTGTAAGTTTCCCTGCTCACAGTCATGGTTAGACGGTTTCTGTTCAAGTATGTAAACAGTTTATGTAAACAGAGACTGCTCATTTGTTTCCCAGCCGCCCAAACCCAAATAATCACACAGAAACTATATTAACAACAACACTGTTCAGCCAATAGCTTAGGTGTATTCCTACCTAGCTCTTTCATATCTTAAATGAACCCATTTTGGGTTTTGGGTATAGGCACAATAAGGCGAAGCTCTAGCAGCGCTTTAGGAGACTTCTATTTACCATATTATGCCCATGCATAATTGGGTGCACATATGGTTAAAATGATGCAGTATGGGAAGAGAAATGACTGTACCACCTGATCTATGGGAACTGCCCACATAACTCCCCTCAGTAAGCAGACTTCTCTGGAAGCCCATAAAAAAATGCCTGGAGCAGTAACAGAGGCTCTCGGGTACTCTTGTCAATGTGGCTCGCTGTCTTTCTTGAGTCTTTCTCATCTTTGTGAGCCCCTGTTTAAAATTCTTGGGATAAGAGACCAAGAACTTGAAAACATCTGTCCTGGACCCAGATCACCACCTCCCCCAAACCTCACTCTTTCTTTAAAGTTTGTGAACAGCTCTCACGACTCTGAAGTTGTTGAGGTTGTGAGGGCTCCTGAGATCACTTAGCTTATAAATACCCAGTGTCTCATGTGTGTGTGTGTGTGTGTGTGTGTGTGAGTGTGTGTGTGTTTATGTGTGTGGTGCTAGGGATTGCACAAGCTGGGCAAGTGTCCTACTGTTGAGTTCCATTGCCAGCTCATTTTTTACTTTTTCTTTTGAGCCATGATTTCACTAACTTGTCCAGGCTGGTCATGAACTCACTCTACAGCCCTGGCTGCCGTTAAATGCACAATTCTCCTGCCTCAGCCTCTAGAGTAGTTGGAATTGCAGGTCTGCATCCCCAGACCTGAGTCTAAATCTAGGTTTATCTTCACCACGTGGGGCTCCACTGATTCTCTCTGTGGGGCTCTTTTCACAAATTCAGTGCAAGGGAAAAGGCACTCCGTTGTAAATGTATCTCCCTGTCTTCCAAAGAACATTATTCTCTGGAAAGATTTAAGGATTGTTAAAATGGGACTAGAATGTAAATGATAGAACATGGGATGAGAAGAGATGTGGGTAAAAGTGAGGAAACTAGAAAGAGACCCGCATAGGCAGGCAAGATGGCTCAGTGGGTAAAGGTGCTTGCTGCCAAGTCTGAAGACCTGAGTTCAATCCCAGAAACCCACATCGTTGAGGGAGAGAACTGACTCCCACAGGTTGTCCTCTACCCACCTACACACACACACACACACACACACAAACACATACACACAGACACACAACATGCCCACTCCCCCATAAACAATTATGTAAATAAAAAAAACTTCTGTAACTGGATAGGGGGAAAGGGTCTAAGGGAGCAGGTGTGGTAACATCAAAAAGGAGAGTGGAAGTGGGAGGGGAAATAGGGTAAATGGGGGAAGGGAGATGATGAAGAAGGGGAAGATAACTAATCAAAATGAAATATGTATGAAAATCTCACATGGAAGCCCATTACTTTGTAAGTTAATTTTAAAAATTCAAAAAGAAAAAGAAAGAAAATCAAGTGTTTGGTTAGAGGTAGGGTTCAGTGGTAAAGTACATACCGGCCATTCCTGTAGAAGCTCAAGGTTATTCTGGGCTACATTACCCCCAAAAGGAGAAAGAGAAGAAAACAAACCCCTAGCCCCACCCCACCCCCAACCCAAACACAGAAACAAAGAAACAGAACACAGAGGAAGAGAAAGAAAGTTAACAGGTGTGATGGTGACAGCCCTGCCCCAAGGTGCTGTGAGAGCAGAGGAGGCAGATGTAAGGCAGGCTCCTTGAGGTGGAAAACACAGGACAGGGAATTCAGGAAGGTCATTAGCATCCTCTCCCTGCTCACCAATCCCAAGACAGGTCTTACTTTGCAAGACAGGGGTGGGATTTGAGCTTGAGGTGTTTGCAGGGCAATGTCAGATTCTTCCGGGCTCCTGGGTGAAGCCATGATTCCCTGTCATAAATACATTTGCAGCTGTCTTTGGTGGGTGACTTACGCTGCCCAATGGTAGTAGTTTTTGGACCATCCCCA